TTTGTAGGGATTTTGTTTGATTGCATGGAGGATTTAATCATAAGCTGACATCAGTTAGAGAACCACTGGAAAACCTGCTGGGAGTACTGGACAGCTGTTTCCTCCGTCCTAGTTAGGGACTCTTCAACAGAACTCTTGTATATGAATGAAGCAAGAAAGTTTTGCGTGTAATGCCTTGATATGATTATGACCAGTAATAATTTGTGCTTGAAATGCCTTCATCACTAAATATGACTGTAGAGCACCGTGTGATTTTATCAAAATAAAAATGTTGTCCATAATGAAATTTTACTCTACCACAATGCCCAAGTTTCATCCTTACATCAAGTTGATACTTTCCAAAGATTCATTGAAATAAACATGAGATAAAAAGTCTGTTAGAAGAAATAATGATAACATGATTTCCCTGGAACTCATTGTTTATCGGAGAAACAAGCGTAGGGAATAGGCATGAAATTTTCAGCTTCGAAGGTAGGATACTGATGGGAAAAAAGACTAAATATTTGACACAATGTCTTGGAAGCAAAGTCATAAGGCTACAGCAAACGAAAACGCAAATAAATGTGACTTGTTTGACAGACTGGGATTTTATGCATTTGTGCTGTCTGGTATATTTTAGATGTGGGCGTTTTTTTTTCTGTAGTCTGACGTTTTAGTCGTTTAAGACAAAAAGATATCGGTTTGATGTGATATATGTACATGTTAATGTTGTATTTGATTTGGTAAAAATTATTCCAGCCTTGCTTAATATTTACAAAATGATTTCGATTGGCATAGTATGCGTTAAATAACTATGGAATTTAGGTGTAAAATATTATTATTATTATTGTTCCATTGGGTTCCAAGTGAAAATATAGGGATTCAACTGCAAATCTCTAACTCTTTCTGTCCTCTTTGAAGTGTTTTGGGCTTGCTCCACGATTGTCAATAAGCTTTCGTCATCAGTTAATATAACTGTACAACAATGTGTGATTTATCAAAATAAAATCTTATCCATAATGGAATTATACTCTCCCACAGTGTCCAAGTTTTATACTTATATGAAGCTTTCGATTTCTTTTCCTTCACGTTCCCAGTGGAACATAGGGCTTCAAGCTAATAACTTGAAGTTTCTGTAGCAGTGTTTAATTCTACAGGATGGGGTTGCTAGCCTCATGCCCACCCTTTCCTCTTAACCAGCATTGTTCCCGGCTTAGCGAGGTAAAGGAGTGCATTGTCAGCCGGGGATCGAACCCCGGACCATGTGCATGGTCGGCGAGCCTTTAAGCAGCTGTGCCACCGACGCACATAAGCTTTCGATTCGTCCATGTTATTTGTACACGACCAACTCATCGTTTTTCACTCTTGCTACACTCGAGGGCCTGGCACATGAAGTGTCAATCAATGGTCTCCTCAGCATGTGTGCTTGTGCCTAGTCTATATCTATTTCCATTCTTATATTTTTCAGATAGTAGATTCTTCAGTGGTTTGTTAACAAAGTTGCTCGTTGATGATCACATTTTGGCTGTCCGGTCTTCAGTTTTTTTTTGAAAGTCTGCAGTTTGTAAAAAAGGTTTATTTAAGACACGTGCACAAGTCTTTGACGTAGTGGAAGATATCTTCAAGAAGAGATTTTGCTGCAGCAACATTAGGAGGGATATTTTTTAGCCACTGATTGCTTCTAAGCAATGTGAAGCCCACACTCCAGCATGTGATCAGTCTGATATCTAATAAATCAATTCACCTGATCCTGAGTAGCTATGGACATAGGTCGTACCATGCTCATCCTTTCTAAAAGTGTTGGAGGACACTACCCAGCACGGCTGCAAAGAGACAGCACTGGTTCAGTCAGAAATGCCAGAAGTTGATACTTTGTCAACGCCTGTCAGAGCATTTCAACTGACCCATCATTCAAAGTCAGTTACAAAGTAAACAAAAATCTACCAAAGTCTGTGTAGTTCCGAACTAAGAATCACCCAGATTTAGTGAATGCTAATGAAGGGTCATTCCATATTAAATCACACGTTCGTTATTGATTTGGAGAAGAAGATCCATGAGGGCCAAATTAATCTATGCTGCTGGGTGGGGTTAAGGTGCGGGCTTAGGTTGAACTTAAGAGTAGGTTTGATAATGATAATAGCTTTATTCCAAAACAGTTCTTGCGATACAGAATGGAATTCTCAGCATTCTACTACAGTATTGCATCCAGTCAGTACATTATCAAAATAAAATTCTACACAGATTAAGGTAATCTCAGTTCATTATGACAACAACGTGAGCATATCGTTTTCTATATAGGCTTCTGGTTCTGCCTGATGAGATACAAGGGGAGAGTTGTGAATGTAGAGGGTGTTGTGAGTCAGATAAAATGGATTTCGCCCATTTTTCACATGAGTCCATGTGCCTGTCCACCAGAGTATTAACAAGCTGGCTAAGTGCTTGCTGACTGCTTACCCTGCTGACAACCTTTAACATCCTACGTAATAAGGTATAGTCTTTCTTCAATAGCCCAGGAAAGACTAAGTGGGAACAGTAGAGAATAATAGGCAGAATACGGGAGTTAACAAATTGTAGGAGTAAGGGTTGGGTTATACCAGAATGTCTTAACTTCTTGATGTAGAAGGTAGGACGGAATATTTTCTTAGAAATCATCAAGATATGAGAGGACCAGGAAAGATCAGCAGATAGAATGACTCCAAGATATTTAATTTCTGACTTGGTTTCTACTTCAGTGCCATCCATGTTGCAAACCTCGTGAGTTCTAACCAGTTTGTTTAGGTCAATCAGATTTGTGCCTAAAGGTGAAATTAACTGTTTGGCATTTGGAGGGGTCTAAGGTGAGATCGTTGTCCTTGGACCATTGGCTGACTTCTGATAAAAAGCTATTTAGTTGAGTGCAGTCACTTTGATATTTGACAGACAAAGATGTAGTTAGTCCATCAGCATATTTGACAAAATTAATGTCATTTGAAGATGGTAGGTCATGTAGAAAGAAACAAAAGAGAAGTGAGGAGAGTACAGCACCTTGGGGGACACCAGCTTCGGTGAGCACAGCAGAGGAATAGCGATAGGAGTATTAATTGGTCGCAAAGTACCAAGATCTACAGTAACCTAGATGAATAAACCTAGCGCATAGTAGTGATTTGCCTACATACTACCCTCTGAGTTACAGGGAAACATCGTTCGCAACATATAAGAGGCAGCTATCCGGCATAATACCATGTTTGTAATGTTTTCTTAAATACACTTTTCGACGATTAGTAACGTTTTTGAATTGTCAAAAGTGAACGTCTGACGGACTTTGATTTGAGCTGCAATACTTTAACTTGGCCTCCAAAACAATGTTCCGCTTTTAAGCAGTTTGTGAAAATAGTCAAAGAGTTAACTTGAAAGCGAATAGTTCCACAGAAAAAATGGTACTGCCCAAGTACAACATACAGCAACATGAAAGAGACACTATTTGAATAAAGCAAGAAAAACAGTGATTTGTGCAGAATAAGATGACAGTGTCATTTATTTCGTTGGCTTCTCGTCAGCTGCTTACAGCTTGAAAATCTTACCTCCGGAGGTTCCATTAAGTTAAGGATCTCCTGTCAACTGACACCATGTAAGATTTGGAAAGCTGTATGAAGATGATGAGAAGCCAATGAAATCAATGGTTTGTGGTATCGCCCTAGTCTGTACAAATCATTATTGTTGTTCTAACGAAGATCAAACCCAAGGTTTTGATAAGCTACGTCGACGACACGTTTGTAATAATCAAAAGAAACGAGTTAGATAAAATTCACAGCCTATTAAACAACGTCTTCGACGACATCGAATTCACAAGAGAAGAGAAATCCGAGAACTAAATCCCATTTTTGGACGTCTTAGTCAAGCGAACAACCACAGGGGAATTAGAAACTCAGGTTTATAGAAAATCAACTCTCTCTCTCTCATGCACACACACCACATACTGAATTACAACAGCAACAATCCATTAACACACAAAAGGAATTGCATATAAACACTATTCAAGAGGGCAAGGACTCATTGCAGAACTCCCACCTTAAGGAAAATTGAAGAAAAATATCTCATGGACGTCTTCCAAAAGAATGGATATCCACGGAATTTCATCAAAAGACATATACCCCCAAGCCAACCTATCAAACCAAAAGCTCTCAAGGAAAGCACAAAGAAAATCGCCTTACGATATATGAAGGATGTCTCAGAAATCACTAAAAGACTCTTCAAACCTTTAGGAATTGACGTCGTACACAAACCAACAAAGTCACTTCGCTCAATTCTGTGTCAACCAAAAGACTCAACAACAAAAGAAGATAAAACCAACATCGTCTACAAAATAAATTGTAACAACTGCGAAAAACACTACATTGGCCAAAGTGGACGTCCTCTTCGTTTTCGTATCCACGAACATAAGCTAGTCGTCAAAAGACATGATATCCACTCCATCGATCATATTACTACAAACAGACAACCACGGACATCAATTCGACCGGGAAAACCAACGTTCAAATGTTAGACAGAGGAAACAAAAAGAATGCTAGGGAATTTTTAGAAGCTTTCCCTGGTAGTCCAGTGAATCATCAATCAATAGACACATTGAGATAGACAAAATTTATCCACCGATAAGAAAGAAACCTCATACACAAAGGTTCAAAGTTCAAGTCAAAGAAACAAGCAGTTCTAATACAAGTAGCTGCCTAGAGGGTGTGAAAACACACAAAAATAACCAATCACGTCCAAGGTCCAGTCACCAGGAGAGATGATTAATGCACTTGTGGTGAAATTTAAAAGCTCACTTCAATTCAAATTGAAGTATGTGCTGAAGATGTCACCTAGTAGGGGGGCAATGAAAGCTTCGCAAGTTAACTATCCAGTTAGCTCAGAGAACACAACCACATCAAAATCGTCCACTTGAGCTACAAATCTTCTCTATCATATCTGTTCATGCTTCATTAAAATTCATAAAAAAAGAGGGAATAAATGTATGCAGACACTGTTTTTTTTTGTTGACTTACTTCTCTGCTGTTTTATCACACATCATATCTTCATCATTTGTGTATTTTAAAGTATTTGAACTTTTTGTTAATTTTGTTGTAGATTCACTTTGTAATAATAAAGAACGAAATTGTTTATCCTGAAGTGAACTCCAATGTTCTTGTGGATTTAAGCTTAAAGCCCTTGGCCTTTTTAATAAGTCTTCATCATCAAATGCTACACTGTCTTCACATGTTGATTGTGCTGTACGATAATTTTTAATATCAAGTGTTACTTGATCACTTTCACTGAAAGGATAATTTGTACCATAATTATTGCATATTCGATGATCTTTTAAACACTTACTGCCAGGAACTTGAATATGTACTAATCTTGGCACTGATTCACGTTGATATTTAGATAAAACACTGAAGGATTCAGACTGTAAGAAATAGGGAAATATAACTGACTTAAGTTTCAAGGCCATGTAAGCATTGATGCATATATATATATATATATTGATGAAAATTGTCTTAAAATTCCCATAAAATATAATGTCGGCTCCGTGCATTCATTCCCCTTGATAAATTTAAATAAAGCAAGAACAACAGTGGTGGTTTGTACAGAATAATATGGTGCCATCATTGCTTTTTTCGTTGGCTTCTCATTAGCTAACTGTGTACACAGTCTAAGTAAATTATGAGATTTACGTATAGAAACGTTTTAACTTACATGCAAATTTTACATGTTGCCGGTTGACAGGAAATTTCTGAGTACTGTTCACTAATTATGGAATTCTCTGTCAACTGACAACATTTAAAGTATGCATGTATGTTAAAACGTTTCTATACGTAAACATCATAATTTATTTAGACTGTATACACAGTTAGCTGATGAGAAGCCGTATAAAAAAGCAATGATGGTACCATGTTATTCTGTACAAACCACCACTGTTGTTCTTGCTTTATTCAAATGTCGGCTCCAACGGCATTTACCAATTCACCTGTACTTGCAGTAGTAAGTACATTCGAAGGATTGAGAGGAGAGCGTTCACTAAATTCACGGAGCATATCCCTAGAAGTCTGCGTTTCAATGGCGACAAAATGTGTTCAAAAATGCGACTGTCAGACACCTGATTGACATGGGATATACACTGAAAATCTGTCAAGCTTTCAAAATAATTATTATATATAAAGAAAAGCATGGTTACTTCAGTTCACAGAAGTCATCATCGTTAAAAGACTTCGACCCAACCAATGTATACAGAAAGGTGGTATGCCTGTGGTCACTCACTACCCTGATAACCTTAATTGTTTTGTTTGTATGATTTTGTGTTTTTTTACTCCGTACATAATATTTCATTGAATTTTGATTTTTTAATTCTCACTTACTGAGTTGAAGTCACTAATAAGTTTCTGAATGCACCAAATTATTATTTTTCCTTTCTTGTAATTTCACTTCAGTATTCACTATTCACCTTCCTGAACTCTTCTTCGCCATAATATGTATGCAATTAACTCTGTTGGTCTATTTTGTATGTTGTCTTCTAATCAATCCTTATTTCCAAGCTGAATCTGAACTACACACCTTAGTCAAGTTACTATATGAATGCCTACTATCTTTTTTGTTTTCTTTTCTTTCTATGTGCTCTCAGTGGAGCATAGGGCTTCAAGCTAGAGCTCTGAAGTTTCTGTAGCAGTGGTTTAATTTTTACAGGGTGGGGCAAATCCTTACTTAGAAAATCAAAACAAGTGATTCAGAGAAGAGACTCTTTCCAACAACAAATTTATTATCAAGCTGTACAATCGTATATATATATATATATGATTTTCATTATAAGAAGTTATATCCGATGAGGGAATTGAACCACAGATGTGAATGCATAAAATAATAATAATAATACTAGTAGTATGAAATGCAATTAAAAGTGAAATGTTTGTGATTCTAGTCATAGTTAAATGTCAAGTGTCAAGACAGTTAATGTCATATACAGAATAATTCATAGGATGAATAGAACCTGGAAGGGTTTTGCAATTATTGGATTAGTAGGCAATTCGAAAAAAACAAAAACATTACGTAATATTGTGTGAAATTTGTTAACATTGAATTTATTGTTGCAAAACAATTGATGTAGAATGAATAGTGGAGCAAGTGAAATAATACCGAGGACAGTTCCAAGTGAGAATATTAGTAGTAATAGTAGTAACGATAGTAGTAACGTAATAAAGGAAGAGTATACAAATTGAATAGACGAAATGAAAAAGTTGGTAGTGCGAAAATATGATTAGGGATTACCACACTTTATCATAGAGGGATTAAGGCCATGAAAGTTGGAGGGGTTGATCGAACTTTTTCCGTACACAAAGATCCGGTTTTTTTGTTTTGATGTCCAAAGCTTCAGCAGTACAGATGAGTCGGGTACGTAGTGATCTGAGTAAATTACTTTTTGTCTTGTAGATAACTTTGAAAGTGGAGGCTATAGAGATAGGATGATCATTATCGACCAGATGTTTAATGTTCGCGCTTCTTATTGCTCCGTTTACAACTCTTCGTAACCATGTAGGATAGTGTTCTTGGACATTATGGGACAAAACTCGAGTCGAACGACCGATATACCCATCTCCACAGGAGCTTATTGTTATGATGTATACCACAAAAGCTCATTTTCTGTTTCCCAGCAGTCTTCTTCACTCCTTTGTTCAGTGCGTCATAAATTGCATTCACCTTTGTTTCACCATTCCTAAATCCCTCATAGAGAGTCACTACTTGCCTTCCATCTTCTTCCTTCATAAGACGTGCATACAGTTTTCCTCTCCTCTAAAATCACTTCCACAGACTTCCAAAGCTTTGCTATAGAGGTTTTCTTTGTAATGCTATATGACTTATTTGAAGATAGATAAAGAATGGATTATTCTTTTATGATGATATGATGATCAAGGTTGGTCTGGATAAAAACCTTACATGCATATATCCTTTTTTGTATACGTCTTACTTCTCCACCATTAGGCATGTATATATATATATATATAGTATATATTTATCATTATTTTGTTTTTGTAAATACGCTCACACCCATACGGGCAATGATAGATATATTTTTTCGCCTCACGTCGTTGTGTTCTCACTTAGGTAGCGGAAGACGGGATATCAAGTAGCTGTTACATACAGCAGTTGAGTAGCCCAAAAATATTGCGTGATCACTGCGTCTTTGTCCAGTTCATCCTGCCTGTTCAGCTCAACGTATTGCAAATGCAAAAAATTGTGACATTACAACAATAATGTCTTCAATTCTGCCCTGATGAATGCGGTGTTAATGTACCCTTCAGTTTCACGTGTTGAAAGTGAACCATGGTTCATCTTCAGTTGCTTTGAAAGCTTGTAACTTGATTTTGGGAGTTCCTTGCACTAGATATTGGTCTGGGGCCACATCTGCTTCTCTTCTCGACTTTGTGTCCAGCAGGTTGAGCTTTCACTTTCTTCAGAGTGAGATGATTTCTATCCGATGAAATTCATGTGAATTTGAGTATATCCATCTGTTTGTATAGGCTTCCTCAAATCGTCAAAACATTGAAGGTGCAGAAGCTGCACTTATTTTGTCGGTAGCCTCCTGACACATGATGAGCTCTCCTCCTGTTCTCTCAGTTTGACATGACACAAATGAGTTTTGATGTCACTATCTGACTTCGGTCTTGTGCATTACGGTTTGTATTTGTCCGCAGAAGTCCTTATTCTTGTTCTTCTTTTGGTTTTCACTGCTTTTATGAGCGAAGCACAGAATAATTGTAGCCTTTCTTACTACTGAGCTCAATCTTTTCATCATTATCCTTGAGGAATTTCGGTTTCTACTACAATAAGAGCTTTCTATATTTTGATTGGACACGAGTAACTAGTGTGACGTGTCTAGTCCTTTCTTTGGTACAGATGGAAACCTGACTGGTAGAATTAGATCTGCACCAAAGAAAGGACTAGACACATAACCCTAGGTACTAGTGTCCAATCAAACCACCCACAACAGTCCTACAGGAGGTCAATCGCGAGCATGAATAGCTCAGTAGTAACGTATCTGACTGCAGCACTGGGTGACGCGGGTTTGAATCTCAGAAGGGACATGAGTTCCCTCAGGGTTGCAGATGCGCCTTGCTGACGAGTGCCAACTAGCACGTAACCTAGGTCAAAGGCTTCCTGCCGATTGACTCCAAATATCTTATATCATCAAGAGCTTTCTATGTTGTTGAAAATATTATGGTGATCACTGTCGCAGTGTGTTCACGTTCGCAACCTGTGTTGCTGGCTCAGATTGTTGACTCTGTAGTTAATAATTTGGATAGCCAATTTTCATAACATCTAGTCTCGCGGATTAAATACGATTCTCCTGATTTCTTCTGTAATCTAAGCAACTTTCACAGTTTCAAATACCTTTGAGGACATTCCGAGTCCTCATGTTCGTATTTGCTTTCATCGAAGGAAGATACGGTTGGTTTAACCAAAGGTTATTTCATTCAGGTTACAAATAATCATTTGACACGTTTTCAAACCAATAAAAGACATAGGATTATGAGTGTACTACAGTTTCGCCAAAGTTATTCCAAAATAGCATAGATGCCTTGAAATCACTAATACCATCGATAAAACATAATGGTTGTATGGTATTACATAACACAGACAGAAAGAAAACAAAAAATAAAGTTTAACTAACCTGTGAAAATGTAGACTGTGTAAAATTTTGTGTACTAGAAAATTTACTTTTACTATATCTTGATATAACACCTTGAACATGGGATGGCGCACCGACAAGACCACCCATAAATCCTGTTGTTAAAGCTGCAATTGATTTCAAAGCATTGTTTGTTTGTTCTTTTGTACATTTTTTATCTAAACAACAATTTTTAAAACAAGTAAAGTAATTCTTCTTTTGCCGAGGAAAATCACATTTTAAACAAGATAATTTATATATGTCCAAACCAAGTTCACTTTTAAGAGTTTGAAAAAATTTCGGCATTGGGTATATGATATTCATTACAAAAAAGATGGTTTTTGTATATCAGTGTTGGTTTGTAGAGATTTGATTGGTTACAGAAATTCATCATGAGCTGATATCAGTTAAAGAACCATTGGGAAACCTGCGAGTACCGGAGAGCTGTTTCGTCCTAGTTCGGGACTCTTCAGCAGTACGTACCCTCCACCAGAGTTCGAACCCAGGATCTTCTGGTTACAAGGCGAGCTAGCTCGTAGTCCATTAAGCCACTGGGACCCGATCCAATGCCAATGAATTCTAACTTCTGCCAATTCACGACACAGCGCGATCCCTAGCCAATGTTTTCGGCGAGTATTTGTCCTCACACTTGACCCCAATGAATGCAAAACAAAACGGTATTGTTGCTCTTACTGACGTTTCGCTACGTAATGCTGCTGCCAATAGCTTTATCAAAGCAGTATTACTAAACCGGAATTTACAAAATCGACTCAGCATATATATATATATATATATATATATATATATATATATGTAACAAAGAGTTAAGGGTTGAGAAAATAGGAATGTGATGCGACCTTCATCAGACACACATCTTCAGGGAGATATCAAAATCAGAAGAAATGAACACCGTAGAGCATCTCTTCGACCACCAAGAAATCCAGGTGAACTAGAAAAGCTTGAAAAATCATCAGCCATAGATCTACACACTATAGAATCACATCAGGTAAAAAAATTGATTTTGACAGTATTGAAATCATCATCCGGAAAAATTTCAGAAATCACAAAGAACATCTAATATCATCAGAAGCACTCATATCAAGTGGAATCTCAATTGCCTGAATAGGAATGATGGACTAAATCAGAATCTGACCTGGTTACAACAACTCCCCCCCACTCCCTCATGAAGTAACAAAATCAACACAGGTGTGATAAGCGAGGTCACTATGTAAACACACACTACTTTCATAATTTTACACACTGATCAAATCCAACAATCTACACTTGGCTTTGCTATCTTTACCAACTGAACAACTTGACAACGAAAAATGACCCCAGACTGACGAATGATGATGAAGTTAGTAGACTTTATTTTGATATCATAACAGATGTACTATTACCTTGGTTATTTAGTTTAGTGATCTTCATTGTTATTTTGACTTCCAATATGTCATCCTTTTAACTTGACCTAAGTAGTCTATTTTCTCACCCACCTCTTAACTCTTTGTCATATGTCTGCTGAGTGGATTTTGTAAATTCCAGTTTAATAATACTGCTTTGATAAAGCTACATTAGCAGCAGCATTAAATAGCGAAACGTCAGTAAACACAACAATATCGTTTTGTTTTGCATTCATTGGGACATACAAGAAAGCCTTTATTATAATGGAGATTATTTAGCAAGAATCTATTGGTTACAGGATTTCATCATGAGCTGATATCAGTTAGAGAACTATTAGGAAACTTGGGAGCATTGGATATCTGTTTCAGCTCAGTTTCGGACTCTTCACAGTACTCATCCATCGATAGGATTCTAATCCAGGACCTTCTAGTAACAAGGTGAACTAGCTTGTATATCATTAAGCCACTGGTACTCGATCCAGTGGCCACTCTATGAACTCTAACGATATGGCGCGACCACTAGCCAATATCATCCATGTCGAGTTATTTTTTCTCATTAAGTTGCAACTCTAATCAAGTGTTTTAATTCACTGAGGAGATTTTGAGCTTTGATGAAGATTAATAAATTATCTTCCAAATAAAAATGTAATGAAATATTTAGGGTAGAATATTCAAGAGAATTGCCTTATAATTAATTCATTGTACGAGTATATTTGAGGTAACAGAAATCTCTCATAAATCTGCTAAATGCGTAATTCATTGTGATGAATATATACTATTCTACGCAATTTATTATTTGGATGCGATAGATCTTATCACTTCGCTCTGATCTTTGGGTAATAAACTTTGTCAAAAGATTGTCTGTATGAAGCCAGCATCATTTATGTATTAACTAGAGTTGTTGATAACAATGACCAAGTGTGTGAAAGGAAGATGCTCCCGTCAAAGAGTAAATTTATTTGATAAAGTCTTACAGTGTTACGCAGCATTATTTTATTTACTGATGATGTTTCTTATTCGTCTTAGGAGTAGTATGGTTTTCTGAAATGTCCGGTCAAACTGATGTTGAATCATTTCTATTAAACGTATTCTCAACTGATTCGATAAATCAAGCTTCTTTTATCAATCTTTCCCTCCACCCTGGACTGCATTCCTATTTTTCTGATAGAAAGCAGTACACCGTCTACAATTGAAAGCCTTCCACTACCTCACTTACTTTAGCTGGTGTTCCTCGAAGTGCTGTTCTTTCTGCTTTTCTGCTTTCGATTTTCTTACATGACTTGCCTCATTCTGATGTAGCCACTTTTGTTAAGTATGCCGATGACCTCTCTGTTTTTATGCCTGTCAACTCTCAGTCAGATTGTTCCAAACTAAATAACTTTCTGTTGGAAATTAGTCAGTGGTCCTCTTCAAACGGACTTGAGCTTAATCCGTCTAAGTGTCAGGTAGTCAATTTCACTTTCAGACGTGAACGTGACCTATAACAACTAGCTAGCTCACATGGCCCCACTATCATTGACGGCACAGAGTTTGAAAATGCATCTAATGTCAAGTACCTTGGGCTGAGATTTTCCACCGATCTTTCCTGGTCCTACCACACCTTGCTAGTTACCAGAAAGATGTTTCGCTTAACGTTCTACGTTAGGAAATTTAGGCAATCTGGCATAAAGCAGTCTTTGCTTTCTCAGTTTGTAAATTCTTGTATTCTACCCATCCCCCTTTACTGCTCCCCATTAATCTTTCCTGGACTACTTAAGAAAGACTTTGCTTCGCTGAGGAGGGCACTAAACGCCGTTAGTAGGGCAAGTGGGATATCGTTAAACCAACTGGTAACACTATTGTAGATAGACATATTATGTCATGTAAGAAACTAGGGAACACAATATTGTCAGACCCCGAACATCCTCTCTATGAGCAGCTGTCTCCTTGCATTTCATCTGGAAGAACCAGAAGCAGCTATAAGAGGCTATATGCTACGACTACCAAATACAAAAACTCCACAATACCATATCTGGCACAGCTGTTATATGATGAGAAATCCGTTAGGTATGACACGATCAATTTACTGCGGCACTCTAACAAATAGTCCCATTAGTTTTTGTTTTCCGTTCCTCGTTACTATTACACTGTTGTTCTCATATTCTATTACACACCAATTTTATACTTCATATCCTGTGCTGCATTGTTTAAAATGTAAACTCAACACTATTCTTTATATTACTCTTTCTTCATCTTTTTTTGGGCGTTGCTTTTTGATTTTAAAATCTTATAAAATTTATGAGGTAATTACATGCAATATATTGAAATGCACGTTGAAAATTCCACACATGTACTACAAATATTGTTTGGAATAAAGCTGTTAAAATTATTAAACATAAATTTTATTACTGCCACCCTGTCCTTTACTATAGTGGGGTTGTGTGCAGTTATTATTATTACTATTATTGTTATTGTATACATTAATTCTTAGAGGAACATAGGGCTTCAGCTGCGCGTCTCCATTGCCTTCGGTTTTCTGCCTACTTATTAACACCGCTCCAAGTTTGCCTACATGACATTCTCCAAGTCACCCTTGCACTGACGACCGACTCGCCGCTTCCCTTTTGGATCCCACTCAAGCAGTGACTTGTCTAGTGATGTCACTTGATGGTTTCCTCCAAGTATGGCCAATCCACCTCCATTTCTTCCTGCATATTTGTTTCACAATCGGTTTCTGCTGTGTTGGTTCGCTCATTGCCATAGATCCCTGTTGCTGATCTTTTCTGGCCGGCCATCTGATCTTGAGCAAAGTAGTGAACGAAGACAACTGTTAACGAAGGTCTGTAGTTTGTTTGAAATGCTCTTTATGACGCGTCAAGTCTCTGATCCGGATAGTGAGTAGCACTGACTGACTTCACATTGGAGCTGAAAATCCGGATCTCATTTTGATGCTCAGTGCTGTTGACCTCCACACAGACTTGAGAGTAATGAAAGCTTGTCTCGCTTTCCCGATGCTCCCTTTCATATCCTTATCAGTTCCGTCGGCCTGTGGTTGAAACGATGCTTCCCTGGCGGGTAGGTAAACGAGGTTGTTTCTTTCAGGTTCCTCCCATTTATGCTGATAGTTATCTGTTGTTGTTTGGCTGCTGCTGTTGCTGTTGGCCAGGAATCTTCATCACCTCTGTCTTATCTATGTTCACCTGAAGTCCCTCCTATCTTTGATACTTCTTCTGCCAGCTTGTTGCTTTTCACTTGTATATCTTCCAGTTTGTGGGAAATCAGACATATCATCGGCGAAGTCCAGGTCCTCCAAGTTCTTTGTGTGAGTACATTTTATTCCTGTTTCTTGCTGCCCGCTATTTGTCGCATTGTACAATCTACTGCAATCAGGAAGATCATTGGCGAAAGTAGACAGCCTTGCCTCACTCCCGTCTTCACTTTTTCGAATGCTTCCGTAAGTTTCCCGTTGTGGATCACTTTGCATGCAGCATTGTCGTATAACTGTTGGATGAGATGTACAATTTTCGGTGGCACTCTTTAGTAGCAAAGTAGTTTCCAAATCACCTCTCGATCGCTGCTGTGCTGTCGACGGCCTTTCCAAAGTCGATCATGTTGAGATAGACTACATGCATGGCAGACATGAACAGAATGAGGACAACACCAACAGTGTGAAGTTCAAACCATTAGTAGTACTAGCATACAAAGAAGGAACCTTCGAAACCTTACTTGGAATTCTTAACAACTCAGGAGTAAAAGTGGCGGGCATTGAAACCCACAAACTCATGTAGAAGCAAACTTTGTTAGTCAAAGGATCCTGTGGAGCGAACCCATTAAACAAAACAGCATGGTTTATCTAATACCCTGGAATGTATTTAACAGGTCACAATCATTCGTCAGAGTAGTAGAACGATGTCAGTTAGACCAACGGAGCATAAAAGCCTTTCAGAATCTAGATTAGTTGACACTAATAATATAAGAAATCTGGAGAATAGTCCAGGTATAGAGCTATTACATGCAACTACACGAAACCGTAATATAAGAAGGGATAAGGTGAGAGCAATAAAGTTTAATATAACAGGATGGATACATAGATTGATAACAGAAGCTTTATTTATTGAGCCGACTGAGATTAAGTACAATAGTAATGATTTAACACCTGTCGTGGACATGTAGGAACTTCTACTACTATTCTCACAACGAGTAGGAAAGAGAGTTTCGAGGTTATGTAGTTGTCATGGATGCAAATATGAGCAACAAAATCTGTTGGAAACGACATCCATTGAATAATACTATTGTACTACATAACTTATTAAATGAACAAATTAATACGATATAAAACACAAATATCTTTTGTAAAAAGCACTTGCCAAAGTTAAACTCTATTAGTCTGCAACACAGTTGAAGAAAATAATTGTCTGTATGTTTCAAAGAATTATCTTAGACAATCATATTGTACATACAATGACTTTCATTCCTTCCCTGTGTCACTTTTCTCTCTGGAATGCATTTATCTGCATCTCTGCAACACAGTCCTAAGCCTGAATCAAGTTGTTTCTTTTGTCCGGAAGACTTTGTCAACAATCAAAAGACAAAAAATTGCTTTCACAACTAACTGACGACCGACTTTATCAAGTGACAAGATATCTATAGCTGCATATATGTCTGTATATATGTTTTTAAATTTACAAAACATTGTCAGGAACAGGAAGTATATACGAATGTTATATCGATAATGAAATTTCTCAGTGTATAGCACTTAGAATTCGTTGAAGTTTACATTTTAGAGATAGTATCATGAGCACTAATGTCATTGTTATTTGTTTAACAATATATCGTTTTTTAAGAGGATATAGATGTAATGGACGTTTCCTGAATACTCTTAGTCTATGCTTAATCAGATATAACTAATAGACTGGTCTAAAATTTCAAAATATTAGCTGTTAAGTTGTTTAATTAAGAATCACTTTTAACCATTATTATTACTACCCTAGAGCTTCAGCTACACTTCTCCGTTGCGTTCGGTTCTCAGCCAATGTTTTCACTTGGATCCGAGTCTGCTCAAGAGCTTTCAACTCCTCTTCACGTGACATCCTCCAAGTCACCCTTGCACTGACGACCGACTCGCCGCTTCACTTTTGGATCCCACTCAAGCAATGGCTTGTCTATTGATGTCACTTGATGGATTCCTCCAAGTATGGCAAATCCACCCCCATTTCTTCCTGCATATTTGTTTCACAATCGGTTCCTGCTGGGTTGGTTCGCTCCCAGAGATCCCTCCCCTCCCTGTTGCTGATCTTTTCTGGCCGGCCATATGATCTTGAGCAAAGTATTGAACGAAGACAACTGTTAACGAAGGTCTGTAGTTTGTTTGAAATGCTCTTTATGACGCGTCAAGTCTCTGATCCGGATAGTGAGTAGCACTGACTGACTTCACATTGGAGCTGAAAATCCGGATCTCATTTTGATGCTCAGTGCTGTTGACCTCCACACAGACTTGAGAGTAATGAAAGCTTGTCTCGCTTTCCCGATGCTCCCTTTCATATCCTTATCAGTTCCGTCGGCCTGTGGTTGAAACGATGCTTCCCTGGCGGGTAGGTAAACGAGGTTGTTTCTTTCAGGTTCCTCCCATTTATGCTGATAGTTATCTGTTGTTGTTTGGCTGCTGCTGTTGCTGTTGGCCAGGAATCTTCATCACCTCTGTCTTATCTATGTTCACCTGAAGTCCCTCCTATCTTTGATGCTTCTTCTGCCAGCTTGTTTCTTTTCACTGGTATATCTTCCAGTTTGTGGGAAATCAGACATATGTCATCGGTGAAGTTCAGATCATCCAAGTCGTCTTTTTGTGTGAGTGCATTTTATTCCTGTTTCCTTGCTGCCCGCTATTTGTCGCATTGTACAATCTACCGCAATCAGGAAGATCATTGGCGATAATAGACAGCCTTGCCTCACTCCCGCCTTCACTTTTTCGAAGGCTTCCGTAAGTTTCCTGTTTCGAATTACTTCATGTTTAATCAGGAGAGAAATTAAAACAAACTAGTACTGGTACTTATGGTTTCTTGGTTTCTGAGTTTTTCAAGTTTTGATAGTTATTGGATTGAATTATGTGTTTATTGTGGCATCAACGTGATAATAATAATATTTAGTTCCTAGAAGCCCCCTACAAGAACTCTTGACTCACTGAGTTCATTGATTTGGGTGTATAGGCGCATAATCATATGTAATTCACTGAATATTATTGTCATTTAGACAAAAGCTGACAGACGACTGAAAGCATGAACTGCCCCAATTTTTGTTAAATATATATCGGCTGAATGGTAGTGTACTTATTACTACAAAACCTTAACTTCATCGTGGATGCGCTTGTATATTTGCAGCGCACAAAATGTACACTACTGGAACGTCAAACACTTGAATAAAATAGCTTTATAGTGCTACATGATATTTATAGGTGTATTTTCAAGTGATAAAATGGGTAGGATCAAAACAGGAGACCGATAATTAGTCAGTAATTTCCATGAGACCTATAAATTAAACATATGGCCTTAATATATATATATATATATATATATATATATTACAGGTTGCTTCAGTATATGCTAACCAGTAAGGCATCATCATTTCAGCTACAGGCGATAACATGGATGATGATATCAAAACACCTTTGTCACTCTGAAAGTAGTGTGAAAATCAACCGTTCTCAATCAGCATAGAAAGATTCAGGTTTTCAATATCAAAGTTAACCCAGTTCTATCATGTGGGTCAGGAACATGAAGCCAGAGCCACTGAACGCACTTCCATCAGATTTCAGATTTTTACCAACAGCTGCCTACTTCCTTGGCTCTATACTGAACATCACACTACCCACCAGGAAGGGCAAACAACATGAAACTCTGGGAAAGAACCAATTAGGAACGCACTACTCAACAAATATTTCGCAGGAAATAAAGATGAGTCAGACACACTCTGAGACCGTCAAATAAGTTCGTGAACTAAGCCATCGCTTGAGTAGAAGGTGAATGGGAGGCGAAGAATTGGGAGTTGGTTCGTGTGTGACATAGATGAGACCATGTGAGGAGAAAATGACAGCTCATAGGAGATTTGGGGGGCAGCTGGAGAGGAACGCAGAAAACAGGATAAGGTGGAGGTGTGCTGCTGAAGACCAAAATCCCGCAAAACATGGTTTTAAATCTGAAACTAGTAATGTATTAAGCATATGAAGTCACTGAACGGCCAGCCAGCTTGTTCTCTTAGCCTAAGTGTTTCGGGTTCAATCTCTCGTAAGGTTACTGTTGTGACTTACTCACAGGTTGCAAACTACAAAGAAGCAGCTGCACAGTGCTTTCAAGTTTTCAATTATCTCTAATTGACTCCGAAACGTGACAAAATTTCAACTGAAACTATATAATTAGCAGTCATTTTTTTTTACTCGAATGGCTTTTTCAGTTTCAGAATAATATTCAAGTGGTCAGTTGTATTCCGTTATATGTTGAAGAAACTGTAAGGGTGAACCTAAATCCAGTATTTTGTCACAGGTACGACAGACTGTTCATCGGATAAAATTATGAACTCGTCTTTGTTATTTTGGTGATATTTAAAGTACTTAGAAGAAGAATAACTTTTGTTTATAAATAGTATAGATATAGAAGGACAGAATACGCACACGTGCATACATTATATATCGGGAACTAAATGCCACCCACCAGTTTTTAACGTAGATTTCTAATCACGTCATTGAATTCCTTGAATGGGGTTGTAGGTGGACATTACGAACAAGTGCAGACAGTTAATGACCATCGTATTTAAGTAGACATTAACATAAATTACATTTTATATAACTGAAATTGTTATTACTATTATTTAACATTGGAATTTGTTTTATGCAGCATTTTGATAATCCTAACAGTTTTAAAATAATGTACAAACTTCAATATAATACAATAAGCTTTTGAAATATTAGAGAAAAAACAAGTGTACTTACACAAGGGTTTACATTTGCGTATTGCATCATTTGAAACCCCCATTTCTTTGAGCAAGTTTTCTAAGGCTAAGATATGTTTCTGTATAGCAAATAAACGAAAGAATAGTTAAATTAATTTCAGTTTATTGCCAGTAAAAAGTCTGATCATAATAAAGTATAATTCTATTTCAAGTTTCTGATTTTTGGTAATATTTCGAACAAAATCACTGCCTGTGAACACACCAACTGTTGTAATTGTTTTGTTTTTTAATTCACACATTCATGATTTGTACTCATATATATATATATATATATATATATAATGCGACAGACATTGGGCAATGAGGAAACAGGCATAAAATGAACTCACACAAAGAACTTGGAGGATCTGGACTTCGCCGATGACATATGCCTGATTTCCCACAAACTGGAAGATATACAAGTGAAAAGAAACAAGTTGGCAGAAGAAGTATCAAAGATAGGAGGGACTTCAGGTGAACATAGATAAGACAGAGGTGATGAAGATTCCTGGCCAACAGCAACAGCAGCAGCCAAACAACAACAGATAACTATCAGCATAAATGGGAGGAACCTGAAAGAAACAACCTCGTTTACCTACCCGCCAGGGAAGCATCGTTTCAACCACAGGCCGACGGAACTGATAAGGATATGAAAGGGAGCATCGGGAAAGCGAGACAAGCTTTCATTACTCTCAAGTCTGTGTGGAGGTCAACAGCACTGAGCATCAAAATGAGATCCGGATTTTCAGCTCCAATGTGAAGTCAGTCAGTGCTACTCACTATCCGGATCAGAGACTTGACGCGTCATAAAGAGCATTTCAAACAAACTACAGACCTTCGTTAACAGTTGTCTTCGTTCAATACTTTGCTCAAGATCATATGGCCGGCCAGAAAAGATCAGCAACAGGGAGGGGAGGGATCTCTGGGAGCGAACCAATCCAGCAGGAACCGATTGTGAAACAAATATGCAGGAAGAAATGGGGGTGGATTGGCCATACTCTGAGGAAACCATCAAGTGGCATCACTAGACAAGCCATTGCTTGAGTGGGATCCAAAAGTGAAGCGACGAGTCGGTCGTCTGTGTGAGGGTGCCATGGAGATGGAGATGAAAGCATGTGGGCAGACGTTGTGCGAGGTGGAATAGTTGGCAGAAAACGGAAGGCAATGGAGATGCGCATCTGAAGCCCTATGTTCCTCTAGGAATTAAGGGATATAATAATAATATTTGGTTCATTTTTTTGTTCATTCATTTTGGTGTATTTGTAATTACATATACGAGTTTGATCACGGATTGATATCAGTTAGAAAACCATTGAAAACCAGAACTGGAGTACTGGACATCTGTTTCACTCTATTTCGAGAATCATCGGAATTACGCGCCCACTGCGATTCGAACCCTCCAGATCCAAGGCAGGCTAACTCTTAAACCATTTAGCTACTGGAACCCGATTCAATGGCCACCAGCCCATGAATTCTAACCCCTACCAATCCATGTTTTAGCAGGACTACTAACCAATGATAAATGAATTTCTCGGGTTCGTACCCAGGTGGGTGCGTACTGTCGATGATTCTCAAACTAGTGGGATGAAACAGTTGTCTAGTATTCCAGTGTTGGTTTTCAATGGTTCTCTAACTGATATCAATCCGTGGTCAAACTCATTTAAACATATCTAATCCTTACAAACCAGACTTTACAATATTCATAATTATATTCCAGAATGTTGACAGTTGTGCTTAGTTACATGTATCCGACTTGACCTTAATGAATATAGATTCTGCTATAAGTTTCTCTTTTCATTTGTTGATATTAATTTTCAGAATACAAATATTGTCCCATGCATCTGCAGCTATAGAAGACTTTTTTTCGAAATTTACTGTACTCTGATGTTCCTGTTGGTTGACCTTTACTTAGGCGTTTATGTTCATTCACTCCTACGTTGAGTGATCTGAACGTTTCACCCATATTTTTAGTCGGACACTCGGCACAAGGTATTCTGTAAATTACATTGTTTTCACACATCAGTTGACTTGTTTCCATTTTTAACTAGATTCGTAAAGTTTAAACGTGGTGCGAATCCCAATATGTTTTGCGGTTTCTTCGGATCGCTGTTGATATACCATTTTTGTATGGTATTATGGTTGTTTTTTGGTTTTCTTACCTTCCTCATTCTTGTCATTCCCTGGTTTTACTCCCTTTTTTTGATATAAGAATAAAACTTGTACACTGTAGTAGAGTGTAATTCCATTATGGGTATATTTCATTTTGATAAAGTCTCACAGTGTTGTACAGTAATGTTTACTGATGACCACGTTTCAAGCACAATTTATTGCCACTCATAATCATATCAAGGTAATCACACGACTTCCTAATTTCATTTATATAGTTCCATTGTTTTTCACTTGATTTGATTGGTAGTAGTATTTTCCATATTTCGGGTATGAGTAATGAATCATTCCTATTGCATGTGTTGGGTGTAGACTCGATGAACAAAGATTCAGTAATCAACCTCTCTCTGAACCTAGTTAGATTACTTTTTAGAATTTTAACCCTCTCCCACCCTACTGTGTGGTTGTGTGTTAATCCATGCATTGCAATTGCTGAGCTTTTTTTTCTAAATTACTTATCTTTTCAGGGTCAACCATTCTTACTTGTTTTCTCCTCTTTATATTATCTCTGATAAATTCTTTTGGGTAGTTGTTGTTGAGTAACATTTTGAATAGGACGTTTATTTCTTTTCACAAGTCATTTGCTGTTGTTATAAGTCTACGTATTCTCTCTGCAAGACATTTAAATTAATCCCTGTTTTACCGTGAGTCGATGAGCTGAGTGATAGATAATCAAGGTGTGATCACAGGCAGGTAATTTTACTCGAAATATTATCACATTGTGTGTAAAACATTGAAATATATAATTATAATTTAATTAATTTTATTTTACTTTTAATTAAAATTACGGCTTTTTATAGTTATTGCAAGTTAAAAATATTATCAAAGTATTTATAAAACTTGATTTGAATAAAGCACATGCTTGTACACACACTCTCTCACACACACATCAAAGAAATATAACCAGTTACATGTTGGATAGAATATCAAATCTGTTTTCACTTTTGATGTTTTTCTGGTTTTTTTGCGCAATACAGAAGAATAAAACAAATATAAAAAAAAGAACCAGATGATTGTAAGCAGGTGTTTATCATCTTTTGTGATTAAAATAATTTTATTTGTTTTTAAATTTTAAACAGGTATTTCGGCGCGAAGTTGGCAAAGTGTAGAGCTAAGCATAAGATAGTTAGATAAACTTTTTATTTATTATAATTATTATTATTATTGCAGTTTAGCTTTTGTTTTTTTTCAATGATAGAAGTCATTCAGCTTAGAATTAATCTTCCCTGAAAATTAGCGGTTTTAACAGCTGCTAGATAAAAATGAACATGAAAGGATCTGTTTTCGGTGTTTATATCCTCCACTTTCAAGTGAAAACAGGTAGACAGTGAAGGCAGGACTTCAAGTGAGCATAAAGAAGACAGAGACGATGAGGATAGTCAACCAGCAAAAACAACGACAAGCACCAGTCACTATCAAGGCGAGAAATTTGATAGAGGTCGCTTCTTCTTGAACTCATCTCCTGATGACAGCATCGATGATGATGAGAATTTTAAAGCTTGGATATGAAAGACAAGATAAACCTTCATCATGACCCTGAAATCAGTTTGGAAACCATGTGTACTCGGTCAGGATAAAGAAGACAAATGTAAGACAATTACTAGCTCAATTCTCGAGCATTTGGTGAACTCAGTTTACGTAGCTCCATCAAGATCATCTACAAGGTGAGGTCAAGTGGTACAAAGTGTGTCAGGTTTCGGCTTTTGTGTATGGCGGGGGCGCTGGTAATTCATCAATACAACCCTGAACTCTGCATGCAGAAAACTTTTGTCCAGTCCCTTATTCTACCTCTTCCCTAATCGTTCCCTGTAAAACATTTTGATTTTTTTTCTTTTGTGTTTTAATTTTACTTTTAGTTTGCTTTTGCTTTATTAATGAATTCACCACTATCACTCTCGTATGCTCCTTCTGTACATTTCACATCCTTTTCAAACTTGTTAAATTGACACTCAAATACCACCACCTTTATTCTCACTCAATAGCAGTTTTAACCTTATCAAACTTCTATCTTTGTGCCGTTGAGTACCACGTAATTTACAACTTTTAATTTTCACTTCTAAAGCCACTTATGATTAACTATATCAATTATGTCACCCCCTATTACTCAATAACAGACCACTATATATTTTTGTAAGTATAAATACGACTGTACAGCCTCTGACGATGATTTCGTCGATAAAGAAAATTTTCTTCGCTGAATCTGTCTTTTATTTTCTTCAACACAAATGGGATTTACAACATCAATGTAAAGGGAGTCAATTCTCGTAGATTGGTGAGAAACCAGGTTCGGTTGTCACAAAAAGCATGTCTAACAAAATTCAGACTTTTATCAAGAGCTGCCTTTGTTGGTTCAACGCTGAAGTCATGGTGACCGACGAGAAAGAATTAGCAACATAAAACTCTAGGAACAAGGCAATTAAGAACCTACTGTTCTCCAGAAAGGGAGAAGAGAATGGAGATGGATCGTACACATGCTGAAGAGATTGTTTTAAGTGACATCGTGATCCAGGCCGTCGCTCTAATGGAACCCAAATGGGGAAACGACGAGCTAGAGGGCGTGGTGATATAAAGGCGACGGTGTGTGTGTGGGGGGGGGATGAAATCAACGACGTACGTTTAAAATAAGGTCATTTAGCTTTGGCAGCGGTTTTTCCAGATACTAGCGCTTATCGTTGTTAGCGAAATGGGATTAGTATTTATTTAGTAACAGGAGATACGCACTCTTTAGGCTGTATCAGTGATACGTACTGCAGTCTTTAGTATTTTCAACCTGTAATCAAAACTTTGAAAAAAGCAACATAAAAGTCAGGTTTTAAAATTCACTGATTTAAATTGTATATCATAGGTAGCAGCTTTTGGCCTCTAAGCTGCTGTTTAATAATAAAACCTCCTGTGTCACTGAGATAACTACTTT